AATTGAACTAATTCATTTTATCCATTCACTATAATTTTTTGACAAGGAGAATGATGCTTTCTTATATATTGAATATCACAAATTTCATTAGTTATTCTATCATTAGTTATTTATTAGTTATCCAAATTATCTACTTATTTCGATTGCCTATTAGTGAAAGATAAGCAAATTGAGCGCCATCGTTGTAGTTAAAGTATTACTTTTTATTAAGCCTTAGTCCGTAGTATTCTATTTCTCCCTGTGGGATCGATAACTAGGACTCCATTAGAGCCCTATATTACTTGAGCGATACGTATACTTGCGTTGACAAATTCGACTTTAACATTATTGAATATTATATCTATACATCCGTATTAAATCAAACACACATATATATAAAGTCGCAGTCAAGTTTTTGGCGCCGTTGCCGGGGATTTAAATCTTCTAGTAGCATCATCAAATTTTTGTAATTGTCAATCAATTTACAAAAAGAGGTCGGTCATTGTCTTATTTTTCTAGAACCTTCACTTGAAGATGATGGGTCATCTAGAGCACATGTAGTTGGTATAGTTGGTGGTATAGTAAACTCCTTTGTTTCTTACTCCATCCTTGGTAGCTTAACTTCTTCATTCTAAATGTGTGGTAAAAAATTGTAATCATTATTATGTAGGTCCCAAACTCCTTATCCTTCTTCATTGAATACAACATCATAACAATGATTGTCTTGTAAGTGTTTGGATTGCAAAACTCGTGTCCTTTTGAGTTAGAGCCATAACCGATGAAAATGAACTTCTAACTTTTGTCATCAAGCTTACTTCGTTACTTATCGGGTACGTGCACATGATATATGCTTCCAAGCACTCTTAGATAAAAATATCAGACTTTCTTCCATTGCATGCTTTTTGTGGTGTCATTCCTCACACATTTCTTATTGTGGACGGTCAACGATCGATGAATTCCATTGGCTTTAAAACTTTTTTTAAATTCATTAGAGGTGAACTCACCTCCTCGATCAGATATCATGGATTTTAATCTCGAGATTGCTTTCTTTCTCCACCATAGCTTTTATCTTCTTAATTAATCTAAAGACCACTTATTTTTTCTTCAAAAAATATACTCAAGATTTTATTAAGAAAATCATATTTGAAAAGAATGAAATAACTACTATTATTAAGAGAGCTTGGCTTGATTGGATCACACCCATCTATATGTATGAGCTCAAGTGGCTTTTGTGCTATCAAATTTGACTCTTTGGAAAACTCTTCTTAAATTCGTTCCCAAGCAAGAAAACTTCACATATTTGGTTAGAATGATTGATGCAAGGAAGGTCTCTAAACATTTTCTTCTTTGATAATAGCTCTAATCCTCCAAAATTAAGATGCCCAAGTTGAAGATGCCAGAGCCAAGATAGATCGTAGTAAAAGGCTTTGAGACACTTAACAATATCATTTTAAATATTGAGCAAGAATATTTTATTTCTTGACATCAATATCTTTGGAATTTGGTTACTCATACTATCTCTTATAGAAAGGTTGTCGTCTTTCACATGAATATCATAACCTTTCTCTAAGAGATAACCCAAAATCAATATATTATTCTTCATATTCAACACCAAATAGACATTGGAAATAAATTGGTGATTTTCATTCTTCAACTAGATAAGGATATTTTTCCTTACATGTCACCACTACCTTAGACTCATCTCCGTAAGACACATTGACATTCATTGAATTGTCAAGCCCCATGGATATTCTTTTTCTCCACACATATTATTTCTTAAACAGGTGTCTAGATATCATGTTTTATCTTCATCTCTTTTGTTCTCCTTATGTGTCAATAGCAAAGTTCCTGGGTCAGCTCTTAGAGAAGAGCTGACCTAGGCATCAAACTCACCTTATAATGTTTGGAGACACACCTTCTTGTCATGCTCTGCTCCTTTATAAGAGGCACGAAGCTTCTTCAATGCCACTTTGGCAGACTTTTTAGCAAAAATCTTATCAAAAGAGTCATAATCTAATCCTTGATATATTAGAGAGGAAGATTTCTTATCTCTCTACTTCAAATCTCATATACCATTCTTTTGAGTTTTGGATGGATTATATTTATCTTCCAGATATCAACATGTTGATATTTATCTCCCATATCGAGTTTAATTTTCAACAGAGATGTGATGGCCAAAGCGTGCCAGAACAAAAAACAAATGATGTTTGTCATTATCTTCTAGAAGACAACTCTCTCCACCTCATTGCTCTTTATCAACATGATCGGCCCCCCAATGAGGATTCAACGTTAGTAAAATTAATTAATAAATCCATAAATCTTAAATCCACCCTACCTTTAGGTTTAATATAACTAGATTTAAGCTGTATCGAAAGCAAAATTTGGGTCCCTATATCCGAAAATTCATAAATCCACAAAACTCCTGCATTTAAGCTTTTGACGGGATTTAGACTAAATCCTGTGATACATCTTGATAAAAAAAGCAATCAAACACTCCCTTAAATTGCAAAATGGACAAGATAGTGCAGAATGAATACCTTTGAGAGCAACAATTGCACCTTCGCCAAACTTAAGAGAAAGAAGGGAAGGATGGAATTGTATTAATTTTTTTAAATGAAAGTGTTTTTAAATGTCCTTTATGTTGTATGTATAAATAACGCAGTTTAAAGTGCTATTTAGGTGAATCCTCCTATATTTTGTTCTATTGTACGTGCTCTATATGTAAATAACAATGTGTAAGGATTAAATATGCAAACTCGTGACCACATCAACGAGCTCGAGGCTAGCAAGTCTCTCATGAACTCAGTTAACTAGGCTAATAGGATGCTACATATGTAAATAGAAAACTTTACATATATAAATTATAATATTTTGTGTGCTATTTGAGGAAAAAATTTGCGTACGTAAGACGTACGCAGTGCTGAGTACGTTTTGGAGGTTATACAAGGAGTATAAGGGAGTTATATCCGTGTTATATCTCCTTGTAACATTTATATAACCTTCTGTAACCTAATTGTAACCTACAAATAAGTTCTTAATATGTGAAAACAGAAGCGCGAAACTTATTTGTAGGTTACATGGATGTTACAAGGGGGTATAACGCGGATATAACCCCCTTATACCCTCTGTGACGTACGCTGCGTTTTTTTCGCTATTTGAAAGCTCATACAAAAATATTTAATCTGATGTCACCTTAAGAAACCGAAGTAGAAAAAATCTGCTCGAAATGAATAATTAATAATTGAGATATGATTCAAGGTCTTTATAATAAGATTAAAATATTCATGAAAGAAATTAATTGATTATTTTAATTATGACGGTAGGCATCAACAAGTGTATTTTGGCTTTCCGTACGTCCGTAATGCGGCTATTTTAATTGACCATAGGATGTTAAATATTAACTGTGACTCAAGAAAATACAAATTGTATAAAAAAGGAGTTTATAAGCCACCCCGGCCTTTTGACGAAACTCGCATCAATGGTTCTATTTCGAATATAGAGTTCGAGGAAGGTGTCAAATTAACTCACTCAAAAAAAAATTCGAACCAAAAGAAAGATGTCGTTTGACGGTTCGTTCTCATCATCATCGTCCTCACCGATCGCTCCACCCCGACGATGATGATTATTGGGAATGCTTGAAGGATGGATTTTCTTAGTAAGAAGTCTTAAAATCTTCATTAGAATATCATCAAATGGATTAGCAGGCTGGATCTTCCTATCGCGCTATCAGACAACCTCAATAAGAAGCGATCAAAGTTCTGAACAGAGGAAAAGTGCAGAAGTCAGGGTCAGCAAGTAATGGTCTATTTATAGGATGTCAGGTATGAAAAACCAGAGAGTTTAATTATTAACTATTAATTATAACATAAATGAATTTAAAGTGAAATTTAGTTCAACGTTTATTTTTCTTGTTTCTTTTGCAGCTGTCTCTTTAGAAAAGTAAGAAAATTGGGAACTAAAATGTATAACAGGATCCTAAAACTACAAGAATCTATGTGAAAGACAGATATGTGGCAAATAAAGTGATACCCTCGGTCAAATCATATGGAGATCAGTCAAATGTTGATTTAGATTATCATAACGTCAAGTCAAGGAGGAAGGTATTCGAAGGCCCTGTCGAGTTGTTCCCTTCGTTGGGTAAGTCGACCTAAACACACAGCCAAATAAAGAGTCAATACACACCTGTCCGAATTAAAGATAGCTCCACATTAGGCCAAGCGAAGAACATCTCTTCATCCAGCCAAATGAAGTAAGTTGACTGAAGGATGAAGCAAATCCGTGAATAGGTTTAGTCAAGAGGTCTCTGTGTCTTCTTCCTATGATTCGGCCCGCCGTGACCAAACGAACAAAAATGAGTCGAGGATTGGAAGTCATCAAGGCCTACCAATACATTCATTATAAATGCATTTTTTTTAATTATTATCACCAGTATATTGTGCAAAATGACCTTAATACCCCTCAAGCTCTTTGTAAATGAAGGGGACATATATATAATTATGTATTCTAAGTGTCTCTTATACCTATAAATAAAAGACCATTTCATGAAAATAAGATTAGATGCTTTATTTCTACCCTTCACCTCCTCATTATCTTCCATCTTCTCTCAAACTCACCCTCAATAATCGTAGGCATCAAAATTGAATTTTTATTCCCACCTTAAACTAATGATATTAGCATTTTCTTAAAATCTGAATTATATTACCATATAAAGTGAAAATAAAAACCTTAACAATTCGAGCGAAATTAGAATGGCTACAAAAACCATACATGTATAATTACTTGATTAATTATACATGAGAAACATCATTTGTTATTAAAAATAATTAAAATAAATTTAAACCAACAATTTACATCTTAACCTTAAAAATATATATATAATTTTGAGTTAAATCCTAATTAAATTTAATCATCGTAAATTTTTTTTTGTTAAGGAGTATAAAAAATCTATTAATTATTATTCAACATCGATTCCAGAAAAAGCTCAAATGATTAAACTCTATCAATCATAATCATGGCAGCAAAAGAAATCATCCTTCCCACAACTTTAATTAAAGCTTGTAAACTCAACCGGCGTCACGAAAGCCAGAGCAAACGTCGGCCATGGCGCTTCCGGCGAGCGGCCGCATGACCGGCGGCAATCCTGTTCTGAATCCGCTCGAATCGCCATGACGGGCAGGGGATCGTTATTCCCCCTGGATGTTGAAATCCAAACTCCTCCTCAGCCTCCCTGAGCAGCTCCCCAAAAAGCGGATGGTTAAAATACAAAACAGGAACCAAGTAACGCTGCAGCCGATCATCTGCATCGTCTTCCACGTACACCGACAGATAGCCCTTTGGTGGCGGCCTCTGTTCCACCTCCAACAGCAACCCTTTCGAGCCTTCAGCGCTGCCGCTGCAGCTGATTGAAGCCACGCGAATTCTCCTGCTGAGAGAACGTACCCACCAGAGTAGTCTGCTTGCCGGCGCAATAGCCGGTGATTTATCTTGATCGAGGCGGTTGTATCTTCTCGATCGAATCCATCGCCAGACCGGTACAAGCCTTCGGCGCAACCGGAAAAATCTGGCTTTTCTCAAACTCATGCCCAAAAGTTCCTTTTTTTTTCTTCCTCTTCTGACCCCTTTTTTCTTTTCGTAGCTGTTGTCTGGGAGAAGATGGGCTTCGGGCTGGGAGCAGCTATATAGCTCAACAGGGCAAGAGGCCAAATGCTGCGGCCGGCTGTTCTGCGATTCGTGGAAGGCTCGGCTGTTCTGCGATTCGCGATATCGAATGTTTTTGAAGGTCATTTATGTAAATGATAAAATTTCGGTGTTGTAAATATAAATAAAGCAGTTTTAAGTGCTATGTATGTGAATCCTCGTATATTCTGTTTTATTGGATGTGTTCTATATGTAAATAAAATGAGCAAATACTTTTTTTCATTTGAATAATAGGACTCCAATAATACGTTTTCTTAGTATAATAGCTCCAAAGTTCTAATGAATCCATCTTAATATCAATCAAATGTCAACCACAAATAACAGCTAAAGTTAATGCAACTATAACGGCTTCAACTTCAGTATAAATAGAATATACAACGATAGTAGGCGTTGAAAGCCAAAAAATACATTTTCCTTCAAAATTACGATACACTCCACCAAGAACTATAGTAAGAATTTTTTCAATAAGAATTGCTTGATCCTTCCCAACTAAAGTTTAGTTGGGAAATATAAATGTTTAATAGGATGCTATATATGTAAATATAAGAGTTTACATATATAAATTATAATATTTTGTGTGCTATTTGAAAACTCAGACAAAAGTTTTAAATCTGATATCACCTCAAAAAAATGAAGTAGCAAAAAAAATCTGGTCTAAATGAATAATTAATAAGCGAGATATGATTCAAGATATTTATAATAATATTAAAATATTTATGAACTAAATTATTTGACTAATTAAATTTTAACGGTAGGCATCAAGAACTATATTTTGTCTTTCCGTGCGTCTGTGATGAGGCTATTTTGGTTGACCTAGTATGTTAACTATTAACTATGTTCGACTGACTCAAGAAAATACAACTTGTTTATAAAAAGAGTTTATAAGCCACATCGGCCTGCAAATTAACTAAGAAAAGACTTTTAGCTCATAGCTCGGCTAGTTCATATGGCAACTCGCACGTATTTTTCTTTCATTTTTTTTAAATAGATTGTTCTATTTTATTAAGAAAAATGTATCTTTATAAAAGACAAATTCAAATTGATTACATGTTTGTCAATGGATTTCAAAGTTTTTTTAATATTTATGGATTCAGCTAATTTGAGATATCTATAATTTGCATCTCTTAGTAGTGAGATGAAAAATAAAAGGTTGCTTGAAAATTCATTTTGGACCAAATACACACTTAATTTTAGTTCCTTCAAAGAATGTTGAGTGGTTCAAGTGCATAGAAATTATGTTAATTTATAGTTAAATTCTATTTTTACTTTGTAATATTGTTGCATTTATATTGTGCTTTGTGGTAGGAATTTAATAAAACAATACGTTGAATTGGATAGGACATAAGTATATACAACAGCGTCAGGCGTACATGGCCTGAGCAATTGAGCGCCAAAGTTAAGGTAGATACTTGGGAAAAAATTTGCGTACATAAGACGTACGCAGAGTTGCGTACGTCTGTAACCTGCAAACAGGTTACAGTGAAGATTTTAGGAGGTTATAACCGCGTTATTCCCCCTGTAACCTCCCTGTAACCTACCTGTACCTTCGAGTAAGTTCCGCGCTTCTGTTTTCATATAACAGGGAGGTTACAGGGTGTATAACGCGGTTATAACCTCCTGAAATCCTCCCTGTAACATGTTTGCAGGTTAAAGACGTACGCAACTCTGCATACGTCTTATGTACGCAAATTTTTTCCAGATACTTGAGAGCTTAATGCCATAGTGCGAGAGATTTAACCTCAAGACACAAAATTTTGAACGCAGGGTAAGTTAATTTTTAGAACAAAGCCAAGATCTTGACACTGCAATGTCATTTTTCAATCGAGTGTTGTCTTTGAAGCATTGTAGTGCTTGTTGCATCGAGATCTAAATATACCAGTTGATGTGGTATATCTATAAATCAAATAGGAGAACGATCGAAAAATAGAACTAGAAAAAATTATACCAGAAAAGAATGCACAGATTTACGTGGTTCGGCAAATTTCTTACGTCCACGGAGTTGCAGAGAATTTTACTACTTGAGAAATTTACATAAGTCGATCACCTCGATTTACAAGAGGAATCTCTCACTCTCACTTCATTGCTCTCTCTTCTTCTTTCTATGTTCTTCTCTCTCTACACCGAGATAGACCGAAAAAACTCTACGCCGAGATACACCGAAGAAGATAAAATTACAAGAGAAATAAACTCACTTTCTTCAGTCACAAGCCACCAAGAAGAAGCCAAGGGAGAACAATATTCTTCTTCTTATTTCTTCTTCCATCACCGCAAGGAACTACTCCTCCTTACACTTCTCTTTCCTTCTATCCCGAGGAAACCGAAAAAGAACACCAACCGTGACTTGAATCTAAAACCGAAGGAGAGCCGCTGTGATGTCTTTTATCGCGAATAGGAAGGGAGGTTGGCGACATTTCACGAATATCGCGACCTCTGTGAGCGGGACGAAGCAAAGGTTCGCTTCGTGGTAGACACTGGCGCCGATTCGCGAAACGGGAGGAGCGGGAGCGGGATTCGCGAAACATTGCAATCAGGAGGAGGGAGCGGGAATTCGAACCGGTCTCCACACTAACAAATCTCTCACTTGAAGACCGGTACACCTACTACAACGTCTTTTTCCTCGAACTAAATCCTCCATTGTGAATCCTCCACCTTGAATCCTCTACCTCTGCAACTCAAAGCTCTGTCTTCACTTCAGATGACCAATTGAAGTCGTGCACAATTTCAGTTTCTCAAGAATAACACCCCTCAGTCAACATATCAAAAGGGTCCAAATAGTCTTGCACCTCCAAGCTATTTCCTGAATTACTCTTGTCTCTGCTTGCAACTCTCACTGTATGGGTCACTGTATGGGCAATATCCTATCCTGTCTCTACTGAAAGTCTTTTCCAACAAGTCTAGCCTTGTACCTCTTACTATCATCATGCTCAGTCTTCACTTGGTACACCCAGTTGTTGTGTAATATCTTCTTCCCTAGTGTAAGTTCTGTCAGCTCCCACTTGCTCGAACTTTCATCTTGTAAGATTTCTTTATAGCTCTGTGGTTCTCTGTGGTTGCTCTGTGGTTGTCCATCATCTGTCTGTGGAACAATAAGAATAGGTGCCCCGGACCCACTTTTCTCTTCACTTCCACCATCAACAGAACTATGAACTACCAACAATAGTGCATCATGTACTTTTTCAGATACCACATTTGCATTATCATTCTCCATCTTCTTGGGATTTTTGCAGTTCCTCCTTACGTGGCCAGCCTTGCCACAATTTCAGCAGGTTACCTGCTGACTAGACTTTGATTTTGATCTCCCTTTATTTGAGTTGTTGTCTTGCCATCTCCCTCTGAAAGCAACATTCAGTGTCGAACTCGTACTTGAGATCTCGCCAGAATCTTTTTTACGAACTTCCTCAGCCAAAATCAAATCACTAATATCATCACATTTCAGTTCAGATTTACCTGCAGAACTGATAACTGCCATCCTCATGACTTTCCAACTATTTGACAACGATGTTAACAATATCAGCGCACATATCTCATCATCAAAATCAATTTCAATAGACAAAAATTGATTTGTGATAGTATTGAAACCATTCAGGTGTTGAGCATCAGAAACACCTTCCGTCATCTTCAAATTGAACAACTTATTCATTAAGTACACTTTGTTATTTGTCGATGGCTTTTCATACATACCTGATAAGGCTGGCTTGAGATTGAGATCTACAGTCGTTCTCTCATTGACGATGTTGTGTGCAACGGACCTCGATAGGGTCAATCGAATAACCCCCAGAACTTATCGATCCAATAAATTCCATTCAACCTCATCCATCATTTCAGGTGTTTTCCCCAATAACGGAAGGTGAAGTTTCTTTCCATAGAGGTAGTCCTCTATCTGCATCCTCCAATAACCAAAATCAGTGTCATCAAATTTCTCGATCCTTGAACCTTCACTTCATATGCAGTCATTATTCTTCCTCAGATACAAACAAAGCTCTGATATCAGTTGTTTCGTCGAGATCTAAATATACCAGTTGATGTGGTATATCTATAAATCAAACAAGAGAACGATCGACGAAGTGAAAAATAGAACGAGAAAAAATCACACCAGAAAAGAACACACAAATTTACATGGTTCAACATGGTTCAACAAATTGAATTGCCTACGTCCACGGAGTTGCAGAGGGTTTTACTACTTGCAATATTTACACCAGTTGATCACCTCGACTTACAAGAGGAATCTCTCACTCTCACTTTGTTGTTCTCTTTTGTTCTCTCTCTGTTATTCGCTCTCTACACTGAGATATACCGAATAAATTCTACATCGAGATACACCGAAAAAGATAAACTTACAAGAGAAATAAACCCAATTTCTCTTCAGTCACAAGCCACAAAGAAGAAGCCAAGGGAGAACAATTTTCTTCTTCTTCTTTCTTCTTCTTCTTTCTTCTTCCTTCACCGCAAGGAACTACACCTCCTTGCACTTCTCTTTCCTTCTATCCTGAGGAAACCTTCCTCTATCTCGAGGAAACCGAAGAAGAACTCCAATCGTGACTTGAATCTAAAACTGTAGGAGAGCTGCTGCGATGCCTTTTATCGCAAACAGAAAAGTAGGTTGGTGACGTTTCACGAATATCGCGACCTCTCGCGACAGTGGAGTGGGACGAAGCGAAGCTTCGCTTCGCGGCAGACGCTAGCTCTGATTCACAAAAAGGGAGGAGCGGGATTCGCGAAACATTGCGATCGGGAGGCGGGAGCGGGAACTCGAACCGGCCTCCACACTAACAGTGCTAGCCAAATAGCATTGCAACACTACAACATGAAAAAGAATTAGGACAAAAATTCAAGAGCTTTGCATCACAATACCACATCTGTAGCTTTGCAGTGCTAGTTCATGGAGATGTAATGCTACAACCCTCAAGAGCAATTTTTGTTCAATTCAGAGTGGACACGAGTGATATAGAATCGATTAGATTTATTTTCTTGAGCAGTTTAGGTACTAGGAAACAATTGGTGAGTGTATATAAAGTGTAGAGGGATTTTTTGTCATTTTGGCAAGCGACTAGCGAGACTGGAAGTAAGAGAAAAGAGTTTGTGGCTATGCAGCGAGAGTGAAGGAGAAACAAATTTGGTTTTCAACTGATTAGATATGGTTCCATCCTAT